TCCACCTATCTTCTCCTCTATCCGCCTCCCCCTCTCTCCCTATTTATTTCAGAATCCCCTTCCCCTCCCCCATTTCTGAAGAAGGGTCCCAGGCCAGAAACGTCAGCTTTCCTGCTCCTCTGATGCTGCTTGGCCTGCTGTGTTCATCCAGCTCTACACTTTGTTATCTCAGATTCTCCAGCATCTGCAGTTCCTACTATCTCTTCCTCACATTTGTCTCCTTTTCCTCAAAACCTTAAATCACTGTCCGCTATAGTCTCAAAAGGTTCATAGGATGATATAGTACTGAACTCACACCAGCAGCTAAGGAGTTATTATGTCAGGTATCCAAAAGCTTGGTCAAAGAGATGTTTTAGGGAGCATCTTAAGTGAGGAGGGAGAAGTTTAGGGAGGGCCTGAATCAATTATCTGTACCCTCTGACCCTACTTCCCCTGAAGAGTACATCCATAAACGCCAGGAAGATGTATTAGCTGGCCTTCATATTTTGAGAGATTATTTTCTGGCCCTGTCAGTAGCTAGCTTTAGCCAGCAGTGGGAGCTGTTTAAATTCCATCTTCATGTGATACGATTTCGAGAAGCTCTCGGCCGTACACAGAGAAGTTTGGTCCTGTTGTCTTTCCGTTGGCTAGTTGAGGTCGGTTACCAGCGAGTCGGCGTTTCACGGACAAAGGTTTCTCTTTTATCTACCACGATCAAAAAAAGGCAAAAAACCCAAATAACTTGCAATTGGGCGGATAGCTGGATGACTGAGGAGTTGGTAGGTAAGCCGCACGTCATCGGCGACGTTTGACTGGCAGCCAGGCTGACCAATCAGAAACAGTATCTGTCCACGTACGGTCTCCTGAATGAACCAATCGGAGGTAAACCCGCCCACAGCGGACTCGTGTGTGTCAACGTCGGACAATACCAGGTTTATTTGAAAAGACGAGCGCTCTTAACTCCGAAAGTTTGTGTTTTCAAATAAATCTGTTAGACTATAACTTGATGTCGTGTGATTTCTGATTTTGTCCACCCCAGTCCGACACCGGCAACTCCATATCATGTGTCAGGTTCGACGAAGCGTGTTTTAGTGTAATGTTGCATGTGGATTAGTAGTAGAGTCACAAACTAGAGTTGTGGTAGAAGTGCTCGAGAACTTATTTAAGCATATTAATGTGTTGCTACGCATTAGACAATGTGAGTATTCGTTAACTGAAGAGACACTGTTGAAATTTTTCATCTTGCACTCCACAAGAATGACAAATTTCAAAGGGAAGAACAGTTTATACAGCATGAGAGAAGGGTTGTAGTTAGTTGTTCCCTGGTGTATTCTCCATGGCTTGGAAACGTGAAGGTGGGTTCAATTGAGACATTCAAAAGGGCATTGGATGACTGTCTAGATATAAGTAATGTTCAAACATATAAGTAAAAAGGAGGAGATTGAAATTTGGTCATGATGCTTGTTTGAAGAGCTGGTGCAGGCACAATGAACTCAATGCCCTCCTATGCTGTAAGACTTCTGAATACCCTTCGCAATCACAGTCCACTCGCCAACCAATTGGCACCATCTTCTCATGCAGTATAAATTGTTGTTCTGATTTGAGGTTACAATTCTGCTCTGATGAATACAAGATGAAAAGCTTTGACAGCCTATCTCTTATTTTTCAGCAATATGAATAAGACCGTAATATGTAGAATTAGGCCATTCGGCCTATTGAGTTTGCTCTGCCATTTGATTGTGGCTGAGATGTTTCTTAACCCCGTTCTTCTGCCTTCTACCTGTAACCCTTGACCCCTTACTAATCAAGAACTTCTCTATCTTAAATGTACTCAATGACTTGGCTTTCACAGCCTTCTGCAGCAATGAGTTCTACAGATTCACAACCCTCTGGCTGAAGAAATTCTTCCTCATTTCAGTTCTAAAGGTCCTAGTGGAAACATCTCCATGTCCACTCTATCCAGGCCTCTCAGTATTCTGTAAGTTTCAATCAGATCCCCCTCATGCTTCTGAACTCCATCAAGTACAGACCCAGAGTCCTCAACTGTTCCTCATCTGACAAGCCCTTCATTCTTGGGATTATTTTTGTAAGTTTCCTCTGGACCCCCTTCTAAGGCCAGCACATTCTTCCTTTTGATATGGAGCCCAAAATATGCACATATTTTTCTAAATCAAAACATGAATGGTGTACTAAAGCAATAGTTTATGAGCTCTTGAAGAGCTATCCTGCAAACCTGCTAACAACATCTTGCAGTTACTGTGCATCTAATATACTTCAAGATCTCTTGATACTTTAAAAAAAGTTGTTTCTGACTTAATTCTCCTGGCCTCACTCAGGTAGGAGCTAGAAATTTATATGCAGCTACCAATCCACAGACGTTTCTTCTTTTAAATTCTGACTGCTTCAGATCAGCTTGTTTAGATATTTTTATTGCTTGGAGCACACAAGTAGTGGCCTGAAACATGTTGGTAATGTAGCAACTAAACACATATCCACATCAATCCCTATTGTGTTACACATGGGATCATGTTGAATATTTTAAAATCTGTATCCCTTCCAAAATGAATTGTTACCTGTTTATATTTTGCCTGTTTTACATTTCACAGAATAAAACACAACTTGGAACAAATTCATCCTGCGATTGGTGTGGAGGCAAGGGAGACTGAAAAGTATTCGTTAATCAGTGAAAGATCATTCAGCTAGGGAGGATGATGCAAACCCAGGTGGAAGAGTATTTGTCCTGTGTTTTCCCCAAGGATGATGGTCTTTTTTCAGAATATTACACAGAGGAGAGCAGTTACAAGTTTTGTGGGCATGTTTTAAAGATCACCCAAAACTTCAGCGCCAGTCTGGGAGTTGCTGCTCCAGTGTGGGATGCCGTAAGTTTTGGGACCTGCCTATATTATTTTTATTCACTCGTGGAATGTGGACATAACTGGCTGGCCAGCATTTATTGCCCATATATATTGGATGGAGGAAAATCAAGCCAGCCACATCTCATCTATCTGCCCCATTAATATTTTAACTTATCAGTTGGCCGTATTTTTCTCTCGAAGTGGATTCAAGCCCCACTCTAGAACTTGGGCACACAATCATAGCCTAGCCTGATATTTCCTTGCAATCCTGAGGGAGTGCTGTACTGTCAGACCTGCAATCTTTTAGAAAAGACGTCCAACTGAGGCCCTGTTTGCCTCTCAGATGGATAAAAGGGATCCCACACCACTAGTCAATAGAGATTGGGGGTGGGGGTGGTTCTCCTGATATATATGGCCAAAATGTCTCCCTTTCCCCTTTTCCAAATGCACCCATTCATCTCTTTGTGGACCTTCCTATGCACAAATTGGCTGCCACTTTTTCTTACATCAGAATGCATTTCAAAGTAAATTGTTGACTGTAAAACACTTTGTGACAGCCTGAAGTCATGACAAGGTTATATAAAAATAAAGACAACAAGGTGCAGGGCTGGATGAACACAGCAGGCCAAGCAGCATCATAGGAGCAGAGAGGCTGACGTTTCGGGCCTAGACCCTTCATCAGAAAAGGGGGAGGGGAAGGGGGTTTTGAAATAAATAGGGAGAGAGTGGGAGGC